GGGGACTTTTGTAATAACTTGAGCCAATTAAAAACATGAGATTAAGCCGGGCGGTGGTGGCGCACGCCTTTAATCCCAGCACTCGGGAGGCAGAGGCAGGTGGATCTCTGTGAGTTCGAGGCCAGCCTGGGCTACCAAGTGAGTTCCAGGAAAGGCGCAAAGCTACACAGAGAAACCCTGTCTCGAAAAAAAAAACAAAAACAAAAAAAAAAAAAACAAAAAAAAAAAAAACAAAAAAAAAAAAACATGAGATTAAAAAAATAAAAATGCTGGTTGTGGTGGTACATGCCTTTAATCCCAGCACTTGAGAGGCAAAGGCAGGTAGACCTCTTGAATTTGAGAGCAGCTTGGTCTACATGGCAAATTCCAGGATAGCCAGGACTATACAGATGGACCTTGTTCCCATGAAAATAAAATACTTTTTAGAAAGCAAATAAACAAAAGCTTTGCCTGCTGTGGGGCCTTGGCCTAATCCTCACTGCAGAACTGAGCCTGGAAGCCCTTGAAAAAAAATACCACCCAGTCCCTCCCCAGCACCCAGGGGGAGCGGTTTCTAGGTTCTCTTTTCCTGAAAGGTTCTACCGAGATGGTCACAGGCCCAGTGCTGGAGGCTGGGGAGATGCCCACAGAGCCACAGCAGGCCAAGCCACGGTGGCACCTGGCTTCAGGTTTACTGAGGTACCTGTGGCACCCCAGACACAGACCCTGGGTCTACAAGGCTCAGACTTGTCACTGTGCCCCACTGCTCTCGCACCAGGGAGCAGCTTGGAGCCTGGGTTCCAGGCCTGGCTGTCCCCGCTCCCGCTTCCTCCCTCTTGTACGGGCTTCTAAAGGAGTCTATTAGCTTGGAGCCGGGTGGATTTTTCTTGGTTCTGACTGGGTCCAAGACCCCGGGCAAACCTTCCCTGAGCCTCCATTTCCTACTTTGTCGAACAGAAGGGACCAATGCCATAGGGTTGTGAAATGGATGGTGTACTGAGTGGGCAGAGGCCTCAGCAATCAGTAATGTGCTATTCTGTATCAGATAGTGGCTGGGCGCTCTCTCTGCTGTCCCCAGGAGTCCTCAGCCTCTGCCGCTTCTTCTGGTGCCCTTTGCTTACTCCTCAGCAATGCCCTCCTTCCTGCCCCTCTCCCCTGCCCCTCTCCTCTAGCCCACCTCCTTGTTCACCAGCTTGTACCATGAACTGCTCCCTGGGTGCTTGAGTGTTCTCATGACATCTGTTTCCTCTGCTTCATGCGAGAGAGCTAGTCCTCTCCCAGGTAAACCACGGAGCTGCCAAGTCCATGAATTCTCCATGTCATTCCGCTGTGGCCAGAAAAACATGGAAAGTGAGACTTAAGGACAGGGACTGTGCTCCCCGGTTACATAAGACAGCCAGCTTGAGGCGAGCGCTGGGTCTCCCGGCTGCTGCTTAATGGACCCTCTAGAGTTTCTAGCTCACCCCGTTTCTCTCTCCACGTAGGCCTCGGGGTGAGTGCCACCTCCCACGCCTGCCTCCTTCACCCTGACCCGTGGCCCTTAGGAGACGACTCTAACCATTGGCCCTGGGCAATAAAAGCACAGAAATTCATACCCAGGGCTCTCGGGTGGTGATAGTACCCCCCTCTCCTGCTGGTATGTTGCGGGTTAGGAACCAGGCTTTGTGTAGACGCCTGAGGACATGGTTACATGATCCTTCTTAAGTCAAGGGGCCTTACTAAGGTATGTGCCCTTGAGCTCAGGAAGGGGAGACTGCAGCCCTGGGCAGAGTGAGGGGGGCATCCGTTCCTGCTTCTCCTGTTCTGTTTACAGACAAGCTGCTTTCCTCCCTGGGCAAGGGGGAGCAGGCAGGGCAGAGGACGGTGCCAAGGTGGCACGAGGCTGGGCATGTGCCTGGTCTGAGATGGCGTTTACAGAATGCCAGATACCTGGCGGTGCCAGTCCGAGGACCCCAGGCCCCACTGGAGCATCTTCCTTGCTTTAGAAGCTGACCTCTGACCTGGGAGCAGTCAGAATCTAGGTACCCCAACCCCCGCCCTGGACTTAGAGCCCCACCACCACCAGTGAGTCTTGGCTCTGCTTATAGCATCTGACGCCAGAGGGGCTGAAAATAGCCCCTGGAGGGGGGGGGAAGGGGCTATTTAAAGGGCTCCAGAGGAGCCAGGCACAGCAGCAGAGGGAGCAAGAAGGGATCATGGCCACTTCAGAGCTGAGCTGCCAAGTGTCCGAGGAGAACCAGGAACGCCGGGAAGCCTTCTGGGCTGAGTGGAAAGATCTGACCCTGTCCACCCGGCCGGAAGAGGGGTGAGTGTGATGGATCCTCTGAAGTTCTGCCTCTGCTTCCCCAGAGTACCCTCTCCACACCAAAGTGCAAACGCCTACCCCAGGGACCTGGCCGTCCAGGGAGACCCCACTTAGCCTGAGACCGGAGAACGGCATCTCTCAGGAGTTCATCACCCTTTTCTCTACTTTCAGATGCTCCCTGCATGAGGAGGATACACAGAGGCATGAGACCTACCACAGGCAGGGACAGTGCCAGGCAGTGGTGCAGCGCTCGCCCTGGCTGGTGATGCGCCTGGGTATCCTCGGCCGCGGGCTGCAGGAATACCAGCTGCCGTACCAGCGGGTGCTGCCGCTGCCCATCTTCACCCCCACCAAGGTGGGAGCTGCCAAGGAGGAACGCGAGGAGACCCCCATCCAGCTGCGGGAGCTGCTGGCATTGGAGACCGCTCTGGGCGGCCAGTGCGCGGAGCGCCAGGACGTGGCTGAGATCACCAAGCAGCTTCCCCCTGTGGTGCCTGTCAGCAAACCCGGGACCCTGCGGCGAACCCTGTCTAGATCCATGTCTCAGGAAGCTCAGAGAGGCTGAGATGGACTGTGACTCAGGCTCCACTGTGTCTGCCTTGGGCTGGGCCCTTCCTGGCTAGGACCATGGAGGAGAGCTGCTGGCCGTGGCTGCTTTGTAGTTTGCCCAGAGGTGGGGGCTATGGGAGGAGGGAGCCAGAGGCCAGGATGCTTAGTTGTCCTGAGTTCCTGAAGGGAGGGCATCAAGGATGGTGGGCTGAGGTGGAGAGCTGAGCACCCTCAGCCCCAGAAGAAGGGACAAGAGATACTGGTGAGGCCATGAGGCCCCTGGAAACGGTGATCTTTTCGGTTACAGAGACGGAGTAGGACATGGAAGGGATCTGGAATGCTCTGGGAAGGAAGCTTGAAGACTAGAGGGAGGGGGATGTGGAGAGGGCAGAAGCAGGGCAGGCCCCCAGCACCCTCCATTAGCACTGCAATAAATGCTCAACCGTGTTCCAGGCTTCTCTCTTTCTTTGTAGTTGGGGATGAGCACTAATGTCTCCCATGCACTTCTGGGAACAGCCGTGCATTTGAGCTAAATATGGCACAGCCAGAGGGTATACTCCATGCTTAGGGGTGGGGTACAGGGGAAGAGCTGTAAACAGGGTAACTGTCTGGTCCCCCTTCCTGTGTCACTGCCCAGTCCTGGCTTCCATGTCCACTCCCTGGCACTGGAGAGCACTTAGCAGGCCAGCTGGCATCGGGGGTTGTTTAAATGCTATCTGTGGAGGATATGGAAGGGGCTGGCACGAGGGTTGTCCTTGGCTGTGCCTTGGGGTGTGGATGGGGTCAATGACCCAAAGGCCTGTCAGTTGTAGATCCAGACAGAATCAATCCTTGGCTGGCATCAGGTGTTCCACCCTCCCTGGCCTGGGTGGGAAGGCAGGGTTAGGTTCCTGTATGTGACCCCAGCAGCTGTTATGATGATTCATGTCCCAACCTGGGTGTCTGGCCTAACAAGGAGACTGTCCCCTTGGAATAAGGAAGGGGCACAGAGGAGGACTGGATCGAAAGAGGCCAGGACTATCTTAGCAGAGACTGGTACCCTACCCACCCCAGAGGGCACAGGCTTCATTCAGAGGATTCTGCTTTCGGGAGACTGGAGATGCTGTTGGCAGGGTGGTTTGCCATTTTGAGCAGATGGGAGGGAAGAGGAGAAGCTTGTGTGCCAGCTACCCGGAGCACCAAGCAAGACCTGAGGCCAGGCCCTGCCAACTCCCCAGTAGGGCCAGGAGTGATGACTGGGGGAGAACCATTGGGGACCTGCACCCTTGGAATGCCAAAAGTGTGCCATGAACTCCTCTAGTGGCCATGGCAGTACCAAGCTTGCGCTCAGTATTTTTCCTTCCGTTCTTACCTGAGCCTGGTGTCCTGATGTGGTAGGAACGTCCTGAACTGGCTGTGCTTATTGGCCCCCAGATAAGCAACACGCACAGCCCCGGAGGCCCGCAGGGGATGCCCGGATGTTCTGCTTGCTAAAAGCATTAGTCTTGCTCACCTCTTCTATCTCTGCTACCATCGGATGCTCAGGGCAGAAAACTACCTGCTCAGGACTCCCCCGGCACCAAGACAGAGGCCAGAACAGAATGTCCTTTATGGAGGAGGGAAGGGGCATTGGAGGAGAGAGTTGGGATCCAGGCCTGGAGGAAGGGATGGCATTATTAAGAAGGGGAGTTTGTAAGGGGTGCCCCAAGAGAGGGGAGGGGGTCTGGGGGAGGACACTGGGATTGGGAACCTGGGCTATCCAAACCTTGGGAAAGAAAAGGGATGAGATGCTGGGCAGAAGTGTCTGTGAGAGGCTGGAGAGGAGCTAGGGCGCCTGGCAGGGGATCTGGAACTGAGTTTGGGGGTGCAGGGTAGCACTGGAAGGGGTGAGCAGGGGAAGGTGTGTATGGGTGGAGGGTTGTCAGCTCAAGTGCAGAGCGAGGGTGGAGCAGAAGCTATGTTCTAGAGGGTGCCCCCCAGACACTCCCCCCGCCCCTATGAGTCTGTTGCTCCGGACACTAACAGAGATGGATGGGGTGACAGAGATGTAGTGGCCCCAGGCGCCTCATCTCTCAGCTACCGCCTCCGCCCTCGCGATGGGGGGAGTCAGGGTGGCGTGTGGGGGGGGGACAGTGGTAGATAAAGGGATGGTGAGGCTAGCTGGGGGATAGGAGGCCCCAACAGAAGCATGAGCAGTGGCACAGATCTGAACCACGCTGCAGGGATGGCCTCTGACTCGGACCCTGGCCGGGCAGCTGTCGCCTCGGCTTACCAGCGCTTCGAGCCCCGCGCCTACCTCCGCAACAACTATGCTCCTCCTCGTGGGGACCTGAGCAGCCCTGATGGCGTCGGGCCTTGGAAGCTGCGCTGCATGGCGCAAACCTTTGCCACGGGTGAGCATGGGAAACTGAGGCATGAGAGAGCAGAAGTCATGGGGAAAAAATAAAAGGGAGGGAGGGAAACAAGAACGTACACTAGATGGGGACCAAGAAGCAGAAATACAGGTGGATAGCTTGTGCCATCAAGAGCAAGCAAGTCAGCAAGGCTCAGTGGTGGTGCCGGCCTCTAGATCCAGATACTAGGGAAGCTGAGGCTGGAGGACCGCTTGAGCCCCGGAACTGGAGGCCTGACTAGACAACTTAGACCCCTTTTCTTTTTTTTTTTTTTTTTTTTTTTGGTTTTTCAAGACAGGGATTCTCTGCGTAGCTTTGCGCCTTTCCTGGAACTCGCTTTGGAGACCAGGCTGGCCTCGAACTCACAGAGATCCGCCTGGCTCTGCCTCCCGAGTGCTGGGATTAAAGGCCTGCGCCACCACCGCCCGGCTAGACCCATTTTCTTAGGAGGGGAGGGTGCTTAGGATTGAAAGTCAGGCAGGGTGGGGTACAAGAGAGAGACAGATCAAGGCTGAGGCAGAGGTTGGAGACTCCAGAGGGAAAGGCTAGGTGTCTTAGCATCTCCCCATTTGATCGTCACTGAAGCTAGTTTTTCAGTGGTGGAACCCAAGTTAGAGGAGCCAAGCTTCTCTCCAATGTAGGTAGCCCAGGATGGCCCCAGTAGAACCTGATTTCCGTGGGCGCTTGCTCCAGGCACTCACACTACCAGGAAGAGCTGGGAGAGCATGGGAGGGAGGGGTGGCGGAGGCAGGGACTACCTGGAACTCCAGTTCTCCGCTTCACCAGGTGAGGTGTCTGGACAGGCCCTCATAGACATTGGTTCAGGCCCCACCATATACCAGCTGCTCAGTGCCTGTGCCCACTTTGAGGACATCACCATGACGGATTTCTTGGAGGTCAACCGGCAGGAGCTGGGACTCTGGCTTCGGGAGGACCCGGGAGCCTTCGACTGGAGTGTGTACAGCCAGCACGCTTGCCTCATTGAGGGCAAGGGGTGAGAGTCGGGCTGCAAGCGTCTGTGGAGGGGTGGGTGGGTGGTGGAGGGCAGAGAGGACTGAGCCTGGGGTAGTCCTGAGCCCTGCCTGGTGCCCTCTGTACAGCGAGTCCTGGCAGGAGAAGGAGCGCCAGCTGAGAGCGAGAGTAAAGCGAGTCCTGCCCATCGACGTGCACCAGCCCCAGCCCCTGGGTGCTTCAGGCCTGGCACCCCTGCCTGCCGATGCCCTGGTCTCTGCCTTCTGCCTGGAGGCTGTGAGCCCAGATCACGCCAGCTTCCAGCGGGCTTTGCATCACATCACCACACTACTGAGGCCTGGGGGTCACCTCCTTCTCATTGGGGCCCTGGAGGAGTCATGGTACCTTGCTGGGGAGGCCAGGCTCTCTGTGGTACCAGTGTCAGAGGAGGAGGTGAGGGAGGCCCTGGTCCTTGGCGGTTATGAGGTCCGAGACCTTCGTACCTACATCATGCCTGCCCACCTTCGCACGGGTGTGGATGACGTCAAGGGCATCTTCTTTGCCTGGGCTCAGAAGATGGGGGTGCAGGTGTGAGGGCCCCACATGCCAGGTGCCCTCAATTTCCTTATTATCCAAAGTGGCACCTAATAAAGCAACAGTCCCTGCTGTGCCGGTGTGGTTTGTGGCTCCCCTAGAAGCAAAGAATGTGCAGAGGCCTCTGAGGTTTAGGAGGGACCGATCCTAGCTCTTCTTTCTCCCTAGAAGCCTCCATGAAGGCTGTTTTCTGTACCAGCCATTCTCTCCAGCCCAGGAAGGTCAAGTTCAGGAGGGTCCAACGGCACCTGCTGCATGCCAGGCACTTGTGTGGGTCTAGTGGCCCGTCAGTTTGCCTCAGTTCAGTAGCAGGGCCTGCCAGCTTGTCTCCAGGCAAAGCTCAGAAAGCCTGAGTGAGAAGAGCCAAAGCCTGAGGGCCTGAAGTGCCCACCTCTGCACGGGCGTAGATGACGTCGAGGGCATCTTTGCCTGGGCTCAGAAGGTGGGGGTGCAGGTGTGAGGGCCCCACATGCCGGGTCCAGACACAAATACAGGTTGTGAAACAAGAAGACGAGCCAGTGGTACTAGCTCCCCACCACCCCACCACACACACACACACACACACACACGGGGCGCGGGCTCTGCTGGGATCCATGCCACCCTCACTCCCATGTACCCAGGTAGAGATCTGCCACTGGCCAGCAATGTCTCCTTCCCTCCAGCCCGCTTTATACACACAGAGGAGCAGAACCAGGGTGAGTGAGGCCAGGAATTGGTTTATTAAGCATGTCCTGTACTGTCTCCGGCCTTAAAATTGTTCTTAGTATCAAAAAATCCTAACAGGCTGCCCAAGTGTCTGAGCTGGAGCCCTGGCATAGCTACTCTCCCCACAAAAAAGAGGGCAGGGGACAGAGGCAGGGCCCAGCTGCAGACTGCCTTCCTGATGGACTGTTCAGGATACAGGCTGTATGGGTCCTGCTTGCCCTGGAATTACCCTGGGAGAGCAAGCTCCTTTATGGAGGGCAGAGACCACAATCAGACAAAAGCTCCACATCCTCTTCCCCCTTTGCCTGATGCCCCTGAAGTCCAGTTGTGACCAGGGGCTACAGCGGGGTACTGGAGTGGGAGGCACACCATGCCAAGGTAAAGAGATCGGAGGCAAGGGGGGGGCACTTTCCCCCTTCCCTTCTCTGCCCTCCAGGGACTAGTTCTGCAGAGTGCTCTCAAGACATGTGGGTGGGGGTGGGGGGCTGTGATTTGGAGTGGAGTGCAAAGGGCATTGGGCAGGCATCCACACTCACAGCCCCCGTCAGGTCCTATACACATACCAGCAGCTGGTTGGACTTGGGGTCCTGAGCAGACTTGGAGCTCAAATGACTGCTGGTGATGACTTGGTTTCCCCCATTCCACTCCAGCCTCCCCAGGCATGTTCATCTCAGACACATGCCTTCCCCAAACCATCCTCACTCACCTGCCTCCTGAACACACCCCCTCTCTACACTCTAAGTGAAGGCCCACGATGCCCCAGTCCTGTCAAACCCAGCTCATTGACTATCTGGTCATCTCTGCTCTTGGCTTGGTCCATATCCCTCTAGGTGTCAGTGTGTCCACTCCCAACCGGAACAGCAGCCAGGGTTCTAATCCGGAGCCCCCTGGGGTCCTGGCCCTGAAGGCAAGAATGGCTGGTGCAGGAGGCAGGGTGGAAACCCCTCTTTGGAACCGGCCCAGCAGCTCAGTTCCTCAGACCCACAAAGAAACTTGGGCAGCTGAAGAGCAGGCCTCCAGTGCCACCTAGTGGCTCCCTGACAAAAAGAGACCCCAATGTACCCCAAAGGCCTGTGGGTGTGGCACTTAGGGGTAAGTGGCTTGGGGTGGTACTACCAGGGTGAGTGACGTGGAAAAGGGAAGAAGGCTAAGGAGACCAAAGCAGCACTCCTCTCTGTAAAACTTCAAAACTTGCTCCCAGTTCAGCCGCAGGCACAGGAGGGCTGCCTATTCCCTGCCCCAGACCTGAGGAGGCCACCCCAAGACAGGGGTCTTGCCCTGTGAGAGCCAGGCAGGGGCAGGTGGCTAGGATTCCAAGCCCATACCCCACACGTTCAAGTTCAAGAGGCTAGAAGGAGAAAAACAATCATCTCAAGGGGGGCAGGGAGGAGCCTCAGGAACGAGGCAGATCTACCCCTCCCAGGGTCTTTAGGCCAGCTTGAACTTGGCTTCAGATTCCTTCAGGAGGTACAGGCTGTCATCTTCCAGAAATCTGTGGGTGTAGAGAGGACCCCACTGAGGCAGTCACCTAGTCCTGAGAACCGCCCAGACAGTGGGGTGACAGAAGGCAAGTGGGAAGCCCAAGTGGGCACAGGGGACCCCAGTCTGCTCTAGCAGCAGGCGAGGAAGGGCGCAGGAGAGGACATCCCGCGGCTGGGGTGGCACTGACCTGAAAAAGAGGATGTGGACAGGAATGGTGCTGATGTGCCAGATGGCATGGGCATCCAGGACCCAGAAGAGGGGTGGGAAGTCGAGCAGTTCGAGCAGGGAGAGCCCCTGCAGCAGCAGCACCACCACCACACACCTGCGCGTGTGAGGCAGGTGCCGGTGGTTCCGCAGGCACCAGGCCAGCCACCATGCCAGGTTCACCAGGCCTGGGGCCAGGGACAGAGACGTTCACTCACTCCATGTCCTCCTTGACTCTAGCTGCCTTGCCCCGCCTCCACCCACCCCCAGGCCCCCATCTCAACTCCTTCCTGCTCTCAAGAGTCTCTCCAGGATCCCCCCGCCCCCAAGAATCCCCCCCAGCTCTCACCTATAGCCACGTTGGCCATCATGTTGTAACCGTAGTCGAAGCAGATGAGGCTCAGGTAGGAGATGTGTACTGTCAGCAGCAGCAGCAGCAGGGCTCCAAAGGCACTGGCCACTGATGGGTACCTCAGTCCCACGGTCCTGTCCAGCCACCCAGAGCAACTCAGATGGAGCCGTGTTCCTTCAACGAGCTCCTCACCCAAAGGGGCGAGGGCTTGCTGAAGCCACCATCCTCTCCCCGCCCCACCACACCAACTGTTTCCCAAAGACCAAGGGCCACAACTCCTGGGGAAGCCCCGCTAACCCTAGCATCCCCCCCCCAAGACAACCCTGTAGAAACGTGTTATGGCCAAGGAAGAAAGCTCTGGGTAGTTCCCTCTCTGCCCGCAGCCCCAGGGACTCACCTGACACAGCACAGATAAACGGAGTACAGGATGACAGCAGAGGCGCAGAAGTAGTCCATCTTCTGGGGGTGGGGAGAGCCCAGGAGGGCCAGGTGAGGAGAGCAGAGCATGGCACAGGGCAGGGCCCACAGAGGAGGCTCAGGGATGAGGCGGGGGGGGGGGGGGGGGGAACGACAGAGTCTAGGCTTGCAGTCTGCAGGAGCCCCATCCTCTGGCTGGCTCACTGTGTCCACATTATAAAACGTTTCAGAGTGGCTCAGCAGAGAGACGGTCATGCCATCGAGAAGGGCCTCACTCTGAGGGCACACCATGGAATTCAAAGTGTCACTTGGGGTGTGATGGACTTGGGCCCCAATCCTGACTACATTAGCTGGGTGACCCTGGGAAAATGACTTCATCTCTCCCAGGCTCAGTGGCCTTATAGATCAGAAAGCCAATGACAAAAGTCTCCTGGCCAGATCCAGGTAAGGCTCCGTGTGCTGCCAGGCTTGGGGTGCCAAGCAGTGACGTGGGCTCTGCAGATGGAGCTGCCTTCACTCTATGGAGCCTGCTCTGCCCTCTCCTGGGCTCCTCAGGGACTGTCTCGTGCAGGGGGCTGGGAGGCGCTCACCTCTGTGAGGTCAGTGTCCCTGGTATGGAAGACTGTGGACCAGAACCAAGCATTGAGGGACACCTGAGGAAGGAGAGGTCGGTCAGCGTGCTACCCAAGGTGGAGGAGACCTGTAGGGCTCTGTTGGGGGGAAATGTGTTTCCTGTGCCCCAAGAGCCCTCTGAACAAATCCAGGCTTCACTCTCACCTAGCCAGTCCCCACAGGAGGATTTCCCACCACTGTAAACCGACACCCAAATCCCCCAGGCCAAGAGAGCTGCAGCTTCCACAGGTTCTGGCCTGGCCAGGGGACCAGTCCTGGCAGAACAAGCTCCCAAATTACCCAATCTCTAAGACAACAGCCCCCAGGGGCCTGCCTTCTCCCCCACTGCCAGGTGATGACAACCCCGCCCACCCGGCCCAGCCCACCGGAGCCTGTGACCTCAGCTTCTGGGGGCGGGAATGAGGTGGGGGGGGGGGCTTGAGCTAGCTTGGGGTGTGTCCAGAGGAGCAGCAATCCAGGGAGGGAGATGTAGCAGATCCCACTGGAACCTAGCCTCGGAGGAAGACTGTGGCCAACCTAACCCAGCTTCCTCCTGGCTGGGCCAGCCTAACCTGCTGGGCCAGTAGCTGCTCTGGAGTCTAGGGAGGAGAAGGGGCAGGATTGAAGAGGCAGCAGCGCGGAATGGCCCAGGGGAATGCTGGGGGCCCTCTTCCCGGAAAGGAGCAGAGACAGACTTGCAAATACACCATCTTCAAGGCCTGCGTCCACAGCAGAGGCCCAAGTTACTGAGGGAAGGGCAGGCTACAATGGAGACAGAGGCTGAGAAATCAGTGGCAGCTAGTCACAAAAGGAAGAGCAGGGCCTGGCCTGCCATACCAGGAAGGTCCACAGAGATGCTTTCTTTCGGGACACATGCCTGGAGGAGCTGCCCACTTAGGTACCACAACAAATGGCCAGTCAGGAGATACAGAGCAGGTCAAGAAGCCAGTCTGTAGGGTCCCACAGCAGGAGGGCCAGATGTAGCTGAGTTCCTGCACATGCTAGGAGCTGATGGCGACAGAGGGCAGGGCGGAGGCAAGGCAGGGCTTAGAGCCAGGCGGGTACTCTGATGCTGGGATCTGGCCTGGGAGTCCTCTGTACCCCCCTCCCCCGCCACCCCCATGGAGCCCGGCTTTCTCTGCCAGCCAGTCCCATACAATGCCTTCTACTTACAAAGGACCACCTAAGGAATGGCCTCTGCAGCCTTGACAGGACTCTGAGGTGTGTC